CTCCAAAAATTGCACCAAAAACTCTAATTTTTTATTCACGGACGTTACAATGTGCTTCTTTCCTTCTCCAGAATTAATCCCAAAATTATGAGATCATCGTTCTTGGCTATTATCTCTTGGATGAATTTCCATAGTCGTCTAGTATTATTGATGATAATCAGTATCTTCTTTTGCACTGATTCATTGATTCTCCGCGAATGTGTTATACCCAGATACCAAATTAGATGATCGAGAAACACCATACCTCTTTGGAAATTACACTCAATCACTTCCATTGATCGGAATCGTGAATAATGGGCATCATGAAAGATCAAAAAAACCTTCACGGAGATAACGGGTTGGACTTGGATGAAATCAGATTAGCGACACATTCCAACGACGAACCTTGAATGAAACGCCTCCATAATCGAAGAAAATTGCCAGAAACGTAACGGTTTCTACTTGCGGAAGAAAGAAACCCTAAACGAGACTTTAAAAACAAACTGTTTGGATAGATTTACAAATTTCTTCTTTGATTTCAGATCTACCACCGATACTTCTTGAAACAGAGACTGCATCGATATGATCATAAATTGATAACCGATGGTTTTTGGTGAAATCTCGAATGCGATCTCCGCGACCATCAAAAGAAAAAGAATAGATCAAAGAGAAATCCTTCTCAACATCGTAATACCCATCTAAATTATTGTAGAAAGAAAGAAAGAAAGATGAAACTAAAACTAAAAATCTACAAAGCCATCGACAAAAGCCGACGGCCCGAACTAGCGAGATAAGTTAGGAGTGATTGTTAAAATCGTCTTTTTGATCGCTCAAAGAGAGATTTATGCGGTATCTCCACCCAAATTTATCCGACCGAGTTCAAACTGAAAATTACTCGATCGATACCTAAATCTCTAACACTAGAATATCCAAAATTTTGAATATTCGACCCAAACTGAATCAATTATCCAAATTAGACTTTTCAAACCAAATCAAAACTACTAACGCAGAACGAAATCTAACCAATAATTTTCACAGCCTTCTAAATTTGTCTTCCTTAGATCCTCTCCTAAAACGGAGAGAAAACAGATAGTACGGTGTTGTTGACTGACTACCTGATTCGAGAA